ATTGAAATGCAAGTTGTTGGCAGTCACCCATTCAGAATATATTCATTTAGGTTATTACAATTTTTTCCATTTTTCAAAAATAGCACAATACAAATGAAGTGTGCAGAGAACAATAGCCATCCGCTGCCTTGTCGTGTACCTTGGAGAAAAGGAAGAGGACCTTTTCAAGGAGTTTAGCGACGTAATTAAACATCTTGAAATAAAATAAAATCCACGGGCACAGTGTAAAAATACAGGACAAAAGCACTGCTCTCTGTCAGTTACATTTCGAAGCATATGGCACTTTTGGCCACACCCCAATCAATAATATCTTAGCAACGTTCAGCATGGATAGGTGTTGACAGCAATGGCATGGGAAAAGGATTGTGTACAATTTTTGAAAAGTGGCTTCTGCTCTTCTGCTCCAGTTCAAATATTGTATGGAACCTGCAAAAAAGATGAAAAGATACACTAAAACTTGCACGGTTGTGATTAACAAAATCTGTCCACATGCATTTAAACACTAGGCAAAGTACTCAAAACCACCTCTGTGTGTCTTCAGGACCACATTGCCATGCTGACACACACATGCAGACTCAATAGGGGAATACAATGCAAGCGTTGCTTTAGCAGCTGGTAATAATGGCTCTGAATTCGCTAAGAGTGACAGTTTAAAAAGTATGCAATTACCTAATTCATTATCTCTTATGCGCTAACCTATTATTTAATGTGCTTCAAAAGGACATGAATATCGCCTTCATCAGTGACCGGTCCACCCCAGGATCTGACCATACGATGGCAACCATCGTGGTCGAGGGAAACAAATGAATGAGCAAGCATTCTGCGTTAAATGTGTTCGTACTGTTTGAAATAATGACTGTCGGCAGTGTAAACATCTTTGTTACATCTTTTGTAAAATGGATGTGTGTGATCTGCAGATTGGTGGCCATTGAGAGTTTGTTTCTGTAGTTTTACAAATACTTTACAGATTTTACATATTTGGCACTGGTTTTAAATATGCAAAGGCCTCTAACTTCGTTGTGATGGCAGCATTTATTTGCTGTGTCCCCATTTCCCATAGTAATATGGCTAATGTGTTTATTTATTATTTGTGGGGCAATTTAAATTTGTGTTATTTATCTTTTTTTTCAAGATTTAAATGAAGCTCAGCGCAAGTTCTTTCAGGAAGACTGGGTGTACATACATTCACTCCGCAGCTGCATAGAACGCCTGTGATGAGCTGATTAGCTCATCACAGGCGTTCTATTTAACCTATTACATTTCACCTAATTCTCCAGCAGCCAATCAACGTGCTGCAGCCAAACTTTAAAATGGTTCTCCTCTCTCCTGCAGTCAGCTGTGATTTCAGGTGTTCATGCACCTTATCATATGGCATGTGTCAATAAATGTTCAAACAAAATGAATTCTCTCCTCATCGAAACATCATGTGTTGAAATAAACAACTGCAGTTCAAAATAAAAAGTGAATTGCCTAATATTTTTGTTATTTTGTTCAATTAATTTATTTCTTTAAAGGCAAAAACATGAAAAAGCTAAGAAAAAAAACTATTGAATACAATATATGTGGAGCAACTTAATTTATAAATGGTTGTCAACTTAAAAACGTGTGTTCACAATGATGGTAATTAAGTACATACAACTTAAAATCCTTTTAAATCATACGGTAAAACAAGTTGGAACAACTTAATTTTTGGAGTAATCAACTTCAAAACTTGTATCCCGAATGAGGGTAATTAAGTACATACAACTTAAAATTCCTTTTAAATCATGTGGTAAAACTAGTCGGAAACAACTTAATCTTTTGAGTAATCAACTTCAAAACTTGTGTTTATAATACCAATTATTAAGTAAGTGGTAATTAAAAACACCTCTGATTGTAGAGGAAAAGCCTTCTCCCCTAACTCAAATAACTTTGTTGCTTTAAGACAATTTCATTAGAAGTTGTCTTAACTCAATAAACATCGATGCAAACTGTTGCGTTGATTTTCTTTGTTGAGCCAAGGCATTTGTTTTTAGAGTACTCTCAAAGACAAGTTCACTTGTCCTCAGCTGCTGCCTGTAGGCTGTGGTGATGAAGACAGTCAGCGCCATGTTTTCAGGTGACAGGGTGAATGTTAAAGGACCTGAGGTTTTGCCAACAGACATCCTTGGTGCACATTATATGAAATCACAACGAAATAAATGCTGCCCGCTACAGTGTGTATTCAGCTAGGCCCAGTTTTGAGGCAGGCAGGAGCTGTGTAGTAAAATGTGGGCGTCTCTCCCACCTTGGAATCTCCTCTGCAGGGCATAAGAAGCCTGGGCTAAGTGTATGCAGGCCCTGTGTTGCCCAGGCAGCAGGGTTTCCCTCTTGTCCTCCCTGGCATGATCCAACCACTGACTTGCCAGAACAATGATTCAAATAATTTAACTGCCTCATTGAGTCCAGACCGCGTTTTACCATCAGGGTTTGATGTTGACCCTTAGGTGGGGCAGTGGTTGGCGAGTCAGGGGCGTATCCACTCACTGGTGGGCCTTTGAGACACACTTCTGGAGCCAACTGCTATTGTGAGATACCCTTGCGGTTCAGCCTGGGACTGCATGATACCCAGTTTTGCTGCGGGGAGGCATTGCAGGAGTCTTGGTGCTGGAGAACCCCTGCCAGTATATAGCCTGCGAGGATTACACACTCGACTCCTTTTTCACTCCTCATGCTTGAAAAGCTAGCCAGTGGAGGGCACACGGAGCAGGTCTAGTGTAAGCTACTGCAAATCTACTACAATTAAATCAAATTAGATTTTTTTTTTTTTTAAAGTAAAATGCAGACTTTTGTAAATGAAAAGAAACCAGTACAAATGAGGGAAATGTGAAAGTAAGTCTCTTTCTTGGTCAGCTCCCCAATGTATCGACATTATACTTTTGCAGCAAGAGAATAAGAAGGTTTAACGAAAGCTCTGGAGTTGGAGAAGGAACAAAGAAAGAGGTGGAGCAAAGGGAAAAGAGACAGAAACTGAGACGTTCTTGTCAGAGAGGATGAAGGCTTATGAGAAGCAAAGTTTACGTAACATGTATGAAGAATGGGAGAACAACTGAGATGTTTACACTGACTAATTGTTTAGCAATTATGACTTTTTGATAGCATCATGAATACATATTGGATTATAATATGGATTATTTTATTTGTAAAATTGAAGGCTTGTTCAGATTATAGTGTTTGACATACAATGCTTTTCTTACTGACAAAATGTTTTCCACATTCTATTTCCATTTATTCCTCTCGATTATCTTCATAGTTACTGCAACATCTTTGTTTTCCTTTTTTTTCAAATAGATTTGCCGAATTCACTTAGTAGAATGTTTCTACAACAAAAAAAGCTCCTTTTCTTAGAAAACAAATAGACTCTAAAGGGGACTGTTTATATCTGCCTTCATTTTTTGTTTGCTTGAAATGCTGCGTGCTGCTAAAATATGCACACTTTTCTTTCACTTTTTATCTCTGTATGGTGTTTATCCACAAATAGATGAGATTAAAGTTACGTGTACGTACAGTTTAAGGTATTTGGAGCAGGATTAAGCATTTGAAAACACTTCTGTGTAGCTCTGTAGCATTTTATAGTCACTTTAAATAGCTCGTATTTTTCACAGCAGGGAAAATGCTGCTTTTAATGACTGGAAGTGCTATTTTTATGTTTATTTATGCACACATTTACCCATATTCCCACCTCAGAGGTGATCTCTATAGTGACTAGCTCCACTGCACCAGACTTGGTTTGAATGTCTTGAATAACAGTCTCTTTATGGCTGATGTTTCCTCAGCAGCATTTTTCAGTCCAGCTGTGGATTTCAACCACAAACCGGCCTCTCTAAACTCAAGGCTGGTAGGTTACATAAAATATTTGCTGACAAGCTTCTCTCCGAGGCAGAGGAATGAGCACGGCTGCTGTTCATGGAGCTGACATTACAGGCCAGGTTGTAGCTGTCCACTTTGTTTGGTTCTGAATCAGTGCTCACACGGGCTACATGAGGAGCATGTTATTTTGGAGAACACACAATAAAACACTGAGGGAATTAGAGACTCAGCACCCCCCTGGTGTCCAGACATAAAGCTATATTTCCTGTGTTATACAAGTTCAGGTTTTTACCAATGCAAAAGCAGAAGTGGTCATCAATTGAACATACATGTGTACATATGAAAGGTTGTCCTATAAGAAGATGCAGGACTTTGCGAAACATCGATCAATAGGCTAAGCCTCCTTGCTTTCAATGCAGTTGTAAAGTCTGTATTCTTATCCTACTGTAGTCTATTTATCATACCAAATATATCAATAGATCACCAACTTTGATGAAAATATTATTTAAACTTTTCAGCTAAAATATTTCATACTTTATTGGAAATTATTGAAATGTAGAAGCCAGCAATTCAATAAAGTGTCAGCTACATTTTCTTTTGATGTGTTATTACTTTTTAATTACATAAATAAAGGCAATAGGCTTCTCAGTGAGACAATTAAGTGGCTGGCAAGAATATTTATGGTTTGTCTGGTTAGCATATTTTACATAACAAATGTTTTACTGTCCCAAACATAAAGTAAAATACAACATTTTAAAAAGGCACATATTTATACAGCCCTATTTGGTAAAGAAGATGGCATACCACAACTGTATAGTTATTTGGCTTACTTGTAAAAGGCATACAAAAACATGTGTGGATTAGATTGATAAAGGTATTTTAGTTGTTATTGGTTTGACACATGGACTGCTTTGACAAGGTTGGTCCAAATGAGATTGTATACTGAAATAGGTACAAATGGCGACTGGCCTTCAAAATAAAAGCGAGACGTTCTTTAAGGCATGCTAACAAAGAGACGAAATAGCGTGCAAAAACAAAATGCCATAAAAAAGTTATCTTGGCTATGCCGTAAGCTGACAACGACCCCTTAAATTAGTTAATGTTTAAAAAATAATAATATAATCGTAATGTTCACTTTATACTGAAAGTTATTCAGCGGAAGTATGTGGAATTACGTAACGCAGATGACTTGACAAAATAGCCCGGGGTAATGTATTGAATGAGCGGGCGTTACTACTTTATATGACACATTATACATGTAATAGCAATTGAAAATAGCTAACACTACACTTTGTGTGCGTACACTTCAATTATTATAATGTTATGACTTCGTTGTAGCCTCCGGACTACAGCGTTGGCAGTTGGCTCGGCTTAAGCCGTACATATTGTCCTCGCAGTGAGTGTTATCTTAAGGTCTTCTTATGTGGGTTTTTGGGTACGGGTCTCTTATATGGAAAGTGGATTTCCCTTATGAGGAAAAGAGAATCGGCTACATAAAAGGCTTCAGCCGTCGGTTTTGGCAGGGAAGTACCGATCACCGGGGGATACCGGGTAAGGTGAGTGTACGTTTTTGTCTTTCGGAACCGTATAAAGCTTTTTCTAATCAAAATAACTGATGCAATGTTGCCATGTCTGTCGGCTTCAATGATGTATTATCACAACAAGCCAAAGCAGAAATTAAAGAAACCCTCTTAATGTCTAATAATGGGATACATTACAGAAAGGTTATTGGTTACCGGAAACTCATGGATTCATATTCAAAGTTATGACTGCATATTTGTCAGTGTCGACATTGTTAATACTGTAAAAACACAGGACATTCAGCAGGTTATATTGCCTTAACTACTCATTCTAAGTTACCGAAGGAACGTTTTAGGAGATTGTCATTAAGGTTAGATCCACAAAACATTTTCATATTTTAAAATGAGTTAGACCTCAAACAGCAGCTCATTGTGCTGTTGTTACTCAAGTCTAACTTTATATTTTGTTATATTTGTTATATTTTAAATGAGATTTCTTCTGAACTATACTGGTACGTTTGTCTGTGAAGTTGTACATGTCATATGATTGCTCATGTGATTTTGCTGCTGTTAAAGTGCTCACTCCTCTGTGTGTGTCCTTTACAGCCTGGCCGGGTGGTGACACTGGTGGAGGATCCTGAGGTAAGAGCAACCATTCCTAAACGTAATGGTACCATACATTCCTCTGTAATAGAGTTGCAACTAATGATTCATTTCACTGTCTATTACTTTGCCAATTACTTTCTCGATGAAGTGTTTTGTCTAGAAAATGGAGGAACATGTCTACTATCTCAGAGTTCATGATGACTTGTTATGTCAGAGCAACACTCCAGAAAGCAATCAGTCAGTTTGCAATAACACAAAGCAGAGAATGGCAGAAAGTAGTCACATTGGAGTTGGACCAGCAAACGGTTAGTAATCATCTTTGCCTGATAAGAAAATTGGTTTTGGACAGGAATCACTAGTTATATCATCTCTATATAAAGATCTTGATATACAGTACACTTGGAACAGATTATCAATGTATGGAAGTTTAAAGTGACCCTATGTTCACTCAGAGCAGCTATCAATTAAAGCTTTCAATCATAACCTCTTTACCCTTTTATAGCATCAGCTAACTAATAAAACAAATGTTAATAGTATTAATCATTCTAAAAGTGGTATACATCTTTATTACGTTAATTACATTTGACATAGTTAATATGATTATGATGTTTTCATCAAAAGATTAGTCAGGTTAAGGGGAAAAGCAAACACAATCTCATGTTAATTAAACTGTAATAAAAGATATCACCATCTGAGGATCGTAATTACTGCGGTGTTATTAAGTATAATTAAAAGAAAAACATGCAGCATGTGGGCCAGCAAACTTGCAGTACATCTTCAAAAACAGCACACTTTTTCAAATGGGGTTTCACTTTTTGAAGTTGCAGTCACTTACCTCCTGTTTTTATCAAACTGTAGAAGAAACAGTGGACTGTCATAGTTTTATGGATATTTATTTGCAAACATGCATTATGTGGTGCAAAGCTGAACACGCTGAATGGCAGTGAAAGGAGAAGGCATTGTTCATCAAAAGAAAGGACGGTGTATTATTTTCCGACCTTGAGATCATTTTTCGCAGTTGATGGGAAAGAGATTGAGAGATTGTGTGTAATGTAGTAACACCATGGTAAGCATCTAGAAAAACATGCATTTAGAGTAGACTGATGATTATCTTAAGGTCGAATTCATCATTCTATGGAAGAAACAGGTTGTGATACAAATATTATGCCAATAAAAACTGTTTTACTAAAGGTTGTAACCAACTAATCTTTATATTGTATAACTCTGCAATCTTTTTCCTTGATTAATATTTCATTAATAGCCTGGTCTGAATCGTCAGATAAAAGCGACACATGCTTTTAAGAGTTTCCTAAAGTGAATGTTTATTGTCTTTCAAATTAATTGTTTTTTCAGACCAACTTCATAAGATGGTCAGTTTACTATCATTTAAAAGCTTGAGCCTGTGAATTCAGTCACCTTTGTTTGAAAAAATGTCATACTATCAAATGTGTTAAATGTGGCTATACTTCATTCTTTTCTATATATGCCAATCAATATTTATTTCTTCTTTGACTCTTCTTCAGGGGTGTGTTTGGGGCGTTGCCTACAAGCTACCGACCGGCCGGGAGCAGGAAGTGAAGAGTTACCTTGACTACCGAGAAAAAGGTGGTTATCAGGTCATCACTGTTACTTTTCACCCCCGTCCACCGCCCTCTGCGCCGCCCAGCCAGACGCTGCTCTACATCGGCTCTCAGGACAATCCAGACTACCTCGGCCCCGCCCCCCTGGAGGAGATAGCCAATCAGATTGTCAGCTCTACCGGTCCAAGTGGGAAGAACACAGAGTACCTGTTTCAGCTAGCTGATGCTATGAGGACAATCCTGCCAGAGGACTCAGACACACACCTGTTTTCTCTAGAAACGTTAGTGAGAGAAAGACTACACAGTGTGCAGAAACACTCACACACTCAAACAGGTTAATTTTGATGATATTTTTAAAACTCTCAGGGTTTAAAAAGAGATAAGGATATTTGTTGGGTACAGAAAATGTGTTGGCAAAGTCTGTTTTTATTGTTACTCTACAATGTCACAATACAGTCAAAAAATATTCAGAAAAAACACCTTACATTGCTAATAAAATGTATTGAAATATGCTGGCCACTAAATCATCTTTGAATAAGCTTGACTACACGTACGATGACTCCTTCCATTGAATGTTTATGGAGATCCTTTGAAGTTAATGAAAATGATAAATATTTAAGGGGATATATTTACATACACATATACATTTTGTCTAATTTTGTGCATTTTAAAACATAAAAATGTGATTTATGTGTGAACTGCTCGGTGAAATGTAGAACGGACGTAACTTCAGTAGTAAATTCATGAAAGAACCCAAAGCAGGGCATGACTTTCCAGTATATGATTGTTGTGCCACTTTATAAAAACAACAGACAGAAATCTCATGACAAATATCTACAACTGATGTAACCACGTTTTGATTATGCCGATTTATGATTGTAAAGGGCTATTTAGATTATTAAAATTACAGTAAAGAAAGAAAGGTTTCCCAGACAACTTATGATCGTTTTTTTAGATAGCTAAAACCATATTCAATATTAGGCTTGGGAAAACCTATCAGTCATGCCCATAGAACTTTCCAGAGTATCTTGTCTAAGCTGCTTATGAATACTGTATGGTACATTTTCCTGATCTCTCTCGGTGATATAAGATCCATGTTTTTGTGCAGTTGGAATGATCATACTGCTTTAATCACAGTGTACAGCCACATAAGCACACATTGTTTCCTCCAGATTGTGCTGAACAGCCATGGTGTTTCTCATTCTGCCAGCACACGTCTCAGCACAGTGAACATATCAAAGTCAACAGTACTGCATCAGAAAAAGTCAACATGCAGAATTAAAACGATGACAGCTCTATCTGTGATCATGTCTCTCTTTAACACAGCAGCATCTGCACAACATAAGTGAAAAGCATCCGTGCAGGGAGACATCTCATCTGTGTTTGATCTCTGTCTCTGTACAGAGCTATCTGCTGTGGACATGCATGTCATATCAATGTGCGCCGACAAGCTGCTGGTATTTCAAATGATCAATCAACCCTGGAGAACACAGCATTCCACGCTCAATCTTCTTCTCTAAAATAAAAAAACATCTCTTGTTACAAATGATGCGGTGACTTTATTCACAGGAAACAACAGGACATTCTCAATGTTGAGCTATTGTATAATACAACACAGTGGGTTGTGTAGGAATGTGATAGTTATATTTCATAATTATATGTATACACTTATAAGTGTTGCATACATGTATATCAATACATCATATATTATTATATTAAGCTTTATATATTAAGTAATATATTATAAACATTATCACATTGCATGATAAGTTTTACATTTGTATAACTATTAAATTGTAACTGTCAAACTACCATTAGGTTTTTGGTAATGATAATGACAATTTTTCATATTCATTTGTTTATATGCTCATATATGATTACTACTTATTACCTATTGTTTGAATGTATCTTAAAGGTAGAAAGAGAGCAATACATACTGCAGTGAAATGTTCCACAACATTAAAACAATTCAACTAAAGGCTGATTATCTTTAAATAAGGGCTGCCGAGCTGCTTGGCGAGACGAAATGAACACACCAAGTAAGTTAAATATTAGAACCCGTTTAGCCCAGTGCTGCTTTTCTGACGGGTTTTCTAAAGGCCAACTTTGGCATGTGAGATTCCAGAGACAGGGCCCTCAGACACACTGCTACAATATCTGACGTCGTTTGAACAGGCTGCACAGAGGAACCCAACACTACATCAGCTGTAGTTATTCTTCTGCTGGGTGAGTGTGTGGAGGACCTGAGGGGGCAGTCAGGCGTAGTAACAGGGCGACACCAGCAGGTCTGTGAGCACCAGCAGCTGGTCGTCAGTGAAGCACTGCCGGTGCTCCTGCCAGTTATCGTGGTGAGTACGCCTGAACTCCGACAAGGTCTTCTTCACCGTCATCTTAGAACAACAAACACCATCATCATACTGACACCATGGGAACACTTCAACTGTTGTGGATGAATGTCTATCTTTGCCCATCTCACACACTGTATAGGCTTACAAGACACCTCAAATCGATATACCTTGCTACATTTCAGAGGGAAATATTGCACTTACTGGCTTTATTTGATAACTGAAGATAAAACAGTAATTGAGATCCACTTAACATTCATGACAACTATGTTGCATTGCTATTGATTAAAAGTAACATCTGTTTGTCTATGTTACGTCATACATACACTTTGAGTGATTAAGAAATAGTTAATAAAAGACAGCTGGATTAGCGAGATGTAACATATCATTTAGGGCCAAACTTTTGTTTAGAGACAAATATATATCATACAATACAAATATAAACAGGATTTTAGACAATACATGTTCTATTAATTTCTATCCAAGATTTACAATGAAGGATTTTAACATTAAACACAAATTATTTGTAAACATTCACAGCATATCTGCTTCCTCAAAGATTCAGTAGGGAATCCCATTGAGAACTATAATATTCCATCACTGGAGTGGCAGCTTTATAGCGGTTGTTACGAAATTAGGACATTTCAATGGAACTAATTACATTGTCTTTATTGCATTAAACTCCTGCAATAAAGATGATTGTAATAGTTCTTCATTTGTTGCTTTATTAGTTATTCAAAGGCCAAGAAGTTAAGAGCTTAAAGCCACTATCAGTGTTTACACAAGAGCTACCTTCATGTTTAACAGAAGAACGAGGCATAAGAACAAGTATGACTTGTAAAAAAACGGCACAGGGTAAATGTAGTGTAGAAGCTAACAGCAGCTGACAATGTTTCTAGCATTTGTTTGCATTGATAAAAAACTAATGAGAAAGTTATAATTTATTGATGTTAAATTGCCACATATATCCATTTAAAATCCACCTCAAAGAAATGATTTAAAGGGAAACAAGTTTGGAGTGAAAAGTTGGTGGCTCAACAAGGACACGAACAGAAAAGAGAGAAGCTACATTTATTTTACATCATGGCCTTCAAACAAAATGATTAGAATAGATTTTAAGAAAGGAAGTGCCTGCCCTGTGGCCTGACAAACTCAAACAGATTTTGAGAATAGTGTCTGCCTGAAGAAACCAAGATATTATATCATTAATATTCAGCAGAAAATCAACGGCTACCATTTTATTACAGAAGTTTTAAAGCTTCTGAAAAGAATAGTTGTGCAAAAAATTCCTCTACTGGCAAATATATTCTTTAACTGTATTCAATTGTATTTCTTCTCTCATTTCTTTCACTTTTGCCACTACTGTAATGTTTTATTCAAACTCTGCACTACAGATTACATTGTACGTCTTCTTCATGCCTGAAGTAAGACCAAAGACATAATTTTCTCCTCAATTGGACAATGAAATTGTATTCTTTCAGCTCACACTGTGTTGAGCTAGATGTTTGTGTGTGAGTGTGTGAGTGTGTGTTTACATCTATAGGCTGTTGGTCGTTGAGGTGGTCGCTCAGATCCATGAGTATCTGAGGCATCCAGTCTGGGACGTCGTAGGGGCTCGACAGGATGCAAGCACTGAGGCCAAGCACTCCAGCATGGCGCCGCACTAAATCTGTAAACACACAACACACACACACACACCACACACACACACACACACACACACCACACACACACACACACACACACACACACACACACACACACACACACACACACACACACACACACACACACACACACACACACACACACACCACACACACACACACACACACACACACACACACACACACACACACACACACACACACACACCATGTATACATCACTTCAGGGGACATTACATTGACTTACATGCATTTCCTGGAGACTTATCCTAACCTTAACTATAACCAACACATGCCTAACCCTAACCCTTACCCTTACCCTAATCCTAATCCTAACCAAGTCTTCGCCCTAAAATTAATGATTCCCCTCATGGCGACCTCCAATTTGTCCCCATAAGGGAGGCGAGTCCCCACACGTGACTGTGTAAACAGATGTAGGTCCCCACAAGTATAGTAATGCTAGGCCACACACACACACAGAGTTAAAAAACACCTTACAATTTCAAGGTTCACAATTCCCCTTGGATAAGAAAGGGTAATAGTGCAAGTATTACTGTGATTGCCTCATTGTGTGATTGCGATGTGTGTGTGTGTGTGTGTGTGTGTGTGTGTGTGTGGTGTGTGTGTGTGTGTGTGTGTGTGTTGTGTGTGTGTGTGTGTGTGTGTGTGTGTGTGTGTGTGTGTACCTGTGGAGGCCAGCTCCCCCCTGGCCCTGGGGAGGCGAGTCTGACTCAGCGTCTGGAGCTCTGTCTGCAGACTGGAGTCCAGGGGGAAGAACTGGCACTGCAGTAAACCACTGAGGGTGGTGCCTGCCATGTCCCTCACCTACAGGGAGAAGGAGGGGGAGGGAGAGCAATGAGAGAGGAAGAAAGAAGAAATAGACTTGTGAAGATCAGAACCGACAAATAAAGGAAGCGGAGGAAACCACGAGGCAGTTTCAGGGCGAGAGACGCATAAACAATTTATTAAAAGAGGTGAGTGCAAGGAGATCGGGGTAAGGCGAGATACATGGGACAAAGATGAGCAGAGCAGGGGGAGAATAGGGAGGAGGCGGAGGTAACATTCACTTGCAGAACATCGCTGCATCACTTTGCATACATTATGAATAGGCAAATGAGTGACGGTTGCTGTATTAAAATAGACAATGACACAAAGACAAAACATTCACCAGCTGTACACTAACACAGTTTACAAAATACTGTGAGATACGCATGCTTTTGGAAAAATAGACAACCCAGATCAAGCTTAGTGTTTATTGATTAGCTGTTCATCCTGATCAATAGAAAAGGGTCCAGTTTGGACATTGTACAAAAGATTTTTTTTTTTTCTCAATATAACATTAGATATATTCTGTAGTTGATTTTTTGCATTTTTGAAATAGACATGAGTCTGTTGAGATTAAATGTCAAAGTTAATAGAATTTGCCAATATATATTTTGGGGGATAAGATTCATATTATTAATGGATTATTTATAGCCACAAAGGAGTTTAAAGACAGCCATTGTGCTTTATCAACATCCCTGTAACCAGGGCTGGACTGGCCATCTGGCATACCGGGCATTTTCCCGGTGGGCCGACGTGCCTTTTGGGCCGACACGTCATTTTTTTTTTCTTTTCTGAAGTCCCGGCCCATAAGACGGGTAGATTGGCCCTCTGTTTTAGTAATTGACACTGGGCCGGCCCAATCAAATCTTTAATCACCTCCCCCTTTGGGCCGCTCGGTGTGCATCATTAAATCACGCCCCCAGGAGGTGAGCCGGCCGTTGAAGCCAAACTGCCTTTTTTTTCGAGAAAAAAAAAAGTTCGAGTTAGAAATGGCGAAGACAAAGGCCAAGCGAAAAGGGGGAGCAGAAAAATTGCGGGCAAGAAAAAAAGCAGGCCCTTCGTGCTGATGCTGCCGCTTGTGTCAAAATAACCGACATGTTTAGTACAGGTGCAGCCAGGTCCATCTTCTTCTAACCCGTGGCCGATATTGGTGGTGAGGAAGATGATTCATTTAATTTCAAACCTTGATGAGAGGGAGAGAGATCAGCGTGAGTGGGGAGAGGGAGGAGAACTCGCTGTAAGCAGAAGCTAAGAAAATTAGGAAAAGATTATTATTAAGGTTATGATACTCTGTAGTTCTGGAACCCATTAATATCCCTTTGATGAAGCACTAATAAGACAAATATTATAAGAGAAACATTCGTTAGCCTACAAGCTAGTAAGCTGGCTTTTTTAGGTTTTCCCTGGCAAGTTAAAATATAGCTTAATGGGACTCTGATACGTTGTCTCATTGAAAGTTAACCACCATTCATGAACAATTACTGGCAGCTTGTTTTGTTTAGTTTATTTACTTATTTGGTTATAAGGGCAACAGTGGTCTTTTGGGACCTGAACAATTTTTTTATAGTCAGCTTTTTGTGGTAGTTTTGATTGACAATATATAGAATGAATAATATAGAAATAGATAAAAATGGAGGCACACATGTAGTTTTGACCATTAACTGTGTGGTATTGTTATGTCAATGCCTATTTGTATGGACCTCTATCAGGGAATCCATTCATTCTGTATCATTGTGTTGAGCCAGGTAGCATCCCCAGAGGAAGAGTGTCAGCGAGAGTGAGGAGAGCAAAGAGCAGGAGGACATAGATTACTTTGCCCGCCCCGAGCCATCTATGTTACAGATGTTTTTAGAACAGCACCCACAACAACATACCAGAAATCCAGTTGTGCAGAAGGTATTCATTCACCTGTAAAGATGGCACCAGCAGAAAGTGGCTTACATATTGCAAGGGACGTCATATGTTGTTTTGTTTTGTATGTCTGGCATTTAGGAAGAGGACTGACACTGGCACATTTATAACTGGAATGTCAGAGGCATGCACACCAGCGTACAGAGGAGCACGAAAAGAGCATTACACATTCAACCTGTGCTGAAGCTTTTTTCTTACGGTGCTCTAAAGCAGACATCGAAAGCATGTTTGCTGGCAGTCAGATGTCTGCTCATAGGGAACAAGTCCGAAAGAGACGTCAGGTTTTGGAGCGTGTGGTGGATGTGGTGAAAGTGCAGGCAGGTGGAGAATGAGGGAGCATATATGCTAGCTGACAACACCGTGGACCACGGTAACTTTTTGGAGCTCATCCTTTTATTAGGAAAGTATGATGTCTGCTTAAAAGAGCATCTGGATGATTGCGTAGAGAAGAGCAAGAAATTGCACCAATCCAGTGGAACAAAAGGTAGAGGGTCTCTCATCACCCTACTCTCCAAAACTACTGTTAACTCCATAATAGAAACTGTTGGTAGTCTAATCAAAGAAAGTATCTCCAGTGATGTCCAGAAGGCCGGAATGTTTTCTGTTCAGCTGGACACAACACAAGACATAACTTCTCAGGATCAGTGTTCAGTAATCTTAAAATATGTCAATGAGACTGTGCAAGAGAGGCTTGTGGCTTTAGTGAAGTGCCATGCATCCACCGGACAATACTTTGTGAACTTGCTCTCAGAGGTCTTAGAGCATCTGAAACTGGACAAGGGCATGTGTATAGGTAATGCAACAGATGGAGCATCCAATATGGAAGGCCGGTACAAAGGATTTTCTGCACTGATGACCTCCCAGTCACCCACTCATGTCCATGTGTAGTGCTATGCTCATGTTCTTAATCTTGTCCTGGCTGAAACTACCCAAACTGTAATCGAATGTGGAACACTTTTCAACCTAATCAATGGCATTATCAGGGAGTCATATCAGAGGGTCAATCTGTGGGAGAAACAAGCCCAAGAAAAGATGCCGTCGACTCATCCTGTAGACTCATCTGGTCCCATCTCTATTGTGTTGTCATAGAAAGGAGAGGCAGGGCACTATAGGGTCCCCCCCCCTAAATTCACTAGAAGTCATCATTTAAGGGGTTATTTTTAAAACTTTTCTTCTGGGGGGGGCACACCCCCCCAGACATTACATTACATTGCATTTAGCTGAGGCTTTTATCCAAAGCGACTTACAATAAGTGCGTTCCACCAGGAAGACACAACCTTGAAGAAAACAGAATCATATAAGTACATCAGGTTTCATAGAGCCAAACATTTCAAGTGCTACTCAACTGGCTTTAGATAAGCCAGTCCTTTATTAGTATATAAGTGCTCTGTTAGTAATTCTATCGCTCGAAGTGGAGTCGAAAGAGATGAGTTTTCAGTCTGGAAGATGTGTAAGCTATCTGCCGTCCTGATTTCAATGGGGAGCTCATTCCACCATTTTGGAGCCAGGATAGCAAACCCACATGTTTTTGCTGATGGGAACTTGGGTTGGCCTACCTGCCTGTCAGCCTTCCATCTGTGCACAAACTTATCTCGTGCCCTCATTGGTCATGTTCGTGTGTGTTGGAGGAGGGGCTCTGTAAGGAAGTCTGAAGTTGGTGCATCATGGAATGTGGCTCATTAAAAAATAAGTACTGCTATTATCTCCCTCTTGTATAACTGGTCAGCCCCACCTGCAGCAGGTAAACCAGGGTTGCCAACTCTCACGCATCTGGCGTGTGACACACGCTTTCACTCTCAATCTCACACTCTCACGCTGCCCAAACTATTCTCACGCCCAAAACAAGATGAACCTGTGATCGTTTTTGGTTGGTTATTTACAATGTTGAGTTGACAGCTGCTCAAGCTGTTGATCCGCTCCCTCCCCGCCTCCACCACCATCAGACCCCCCTATTAGTGCTCGGTCACTGTTTGCTTTGTGAGAGGGTTTGAAGGTCTAATTTCTAATGATTGATAGTTACACATACCTGTGGTATGTATTAGTTTAGTTTGCCCCTGGTACGTAAAAAGGATAATAATAATAGCGTTTTTTTAAATTATACTGAGTTATTCAGTCAGGAACTGCTACTATTCATTTGTTTTATGGATTTGGGCCGGTCTGGGTCTAAATGCCAGGGCCGATTTGCTGTCCCAGTCCAGCCCTGCCTGTAACCACCCAAAAAGAGAGGCACCAACACAGGAAAACAAATTAAGGGCTGAGCAGAGATGTAGAGGGTTATTTTTAAGCAATAACAGTGAATAGAGAAGATGGATTAAGATTTACTGAGGAAAAACTATAAGGGACAATAAGTGGTCATTTATTTTCCTCTGACATTTATACCTTGCAGAGGGGCAATGGCTGTACTAAACCTTACTTTGCTGCCTTTTTGCACATACATTACCTCAAGCTGTTCATCAAGTAGCAGCTGCATGACCAGCTTTCGGATGTGGAGCACCGCAGCAGGCACACTGAGCAGGGTAAACAAGTTGTAGAAAACCATGATCTGCAGGTAGGTCAGTACTGAGAAGCGTGCATGCCATGATCTGCTGACTGTCAACTAGAGAGAAGAGGGAGAAGTTTATTTGTTTTGTAGCCTAAAACTTTAAGTTCTAGTTTAGGCATACCAACGCTTATAATCTAGAGGCATGCTTGGGACTCTGTGAACCTGCACTTAGATGCTGCAGTGCTTTGAAATAAAGGCTTACGTCAGATTGCGAAACATGCCAACAATGATTATGCTAACATGCTGGAGTGGAAAAAGCCTAAAGCAGGGAAACAGTTAACTAAGTCATTTTTTTTCCATTTAATCGTTTATTTGGCAGGGAAAATGCACAATAATGAACACTTAAAACATTAAAATGTGTCAAGCGTAACAGCGCCAGATTTAGCTTTGAGCTAATTTCCATCCGCAGTCCCTCACATAAAACACGCTAGCAGCTCTGTGAGGTTTATGCACGGTGGTCCTTTGAGCTAAATGCGGTACCACTTTACAATAAGACATACCCTTATAAAGGGTTTACGAATAGTTTGGAATTCATTTATTAATTAGGTTGTGAACACTTTATAAATCATTAATAAGCTTTTAGGACAGTAAACCAACAATATCCTTTTAAACTGGAGAGATTACAAAATATGGATAAATAAATAAATGTTAAAAACAAAAACTCGGTGTGTCTTGTTCTATCAGATGTTTAATGATTCAACATGTTTTTACACTTTCCTGTTTAGATTCTGCCTCGTGTTTGTTCTCATTGGGCCTTATGAAACAACATGTTCTATTCCAATGCTCAATTGCTCTAGGTCGGATTAACGTAATAAGACACTTTGGACATTTATTAATCCTGGTAGATTTTGAGTCATCACTAGGCAAGGCGAGGCGAGGCAAGTTTATTTATATAGCCCCTTTCAACACAAGGCAATTCAAAGTGCTGTACAAAATACAAGACAATAAGATCTAACAACACTAACATGTGTAGTCAAATTTGTCTGAAAATGATTTAGAAATGTTGCTTCATTTGGATGGAAAATTTGCGAGGCGAAAATGTACCTCACTCTTAGTATGGAGTCAGATTTGGGTCAATATTCTAGCGCGTAAAACAAGCTACTCACGAGCGGAAAATGTGCTTTTACACGCGCATAAAATTACCCTCGCGCGCAGATTAGACCCCCGCGAGCGGCTCTGCGCCCGCGAGCGGCTCTGCGCTCGCTCGCGAGAGAGACAGCCCTCTTGCTCGCTCGCGGGAGTATCAGCCTCGCGGAGTCTGTCTACGCGCGCGTGAAAAGTTTCTGGCACTTTGGGGCGGAGCCACTGGACTTTGATTGACAGCTGCAAGGAAGCCCGGAGTTGCCAGGTTTGATAAATGCCTGAACTACCAAGAACCGAGGAGTGACAGCTGCAAGATCAGTTGGACGAGACTGAATGGTAAAGTTGTCCATAAAAAACTATTATATTCGTAAAGTGTAGAGCTAATATATATATATATATATATATATATATATTAATTTGATATAAAAAAAATTACACATTAATTCTAGGAGTGCAATACTTTTACAAATACTATAGTAAAGCATTCATTATGACAACATCATACTATTACTATAGGAGTGTTCTTGTGTTCAAAAAACAACTACAGAAACACTATATATTATACTATAGTTATACTATTTAAAATAATATAGGAATACTACAAAGATCTAGATACATAGTATTACTATTGAAATATTATAGGGCTACTATAGCTAATAAAATGGCACTACAGAAAAAACTATAGTAATACAATAGCTGGTGAAAAATACAAACTTACTAAAGGACACTATACAACTCTTATAGTATACTATCGTACTACTATAATTCATTAATAGTTCATTTCGTAAGGGAGGTGCATACAGCAGACAGCAGTTTTCGACAGATACAGCCCACTCAAAAATATATTGTTTTACATAAAATTCATTAAGATATATATATATATATATATATATTAGCTGTACACTTTACGAATATAATGGTTTTTTATGGACAACTTTACCATTCAATCTCGTCCAACTGATCTTTCAGCTGTCACTCCTCGGCTCTTGGTAGTTCAGGCATTTATCAAACCTGGCAACTCCGGGCTTCCTTGCAGCTGTCAATCAAAGTCCAGTGGCTCCGCCCCAAAGTGCCAGAAACCTTTCACTCGCGTAGACAGACTCCGCGAGGCTGACACTCCCGCGAGCGAGCAAGAGGGCTGTCTCTCTCGCGAGCGAGCGCATAGCCGCTCGCTGGGGGTTTAATCTGCGCGCGAGCGTCATTTTATGCGCGTGTAAAAGCACATTTTCCGCTCGTGAGTAGCTTGTTTTACGCGCGAGAATATTGACCCAAATCTGACTCCATACTTAGTTTATGAAATCATCAACTCACTATAAAAAAAAAAAAATTGGCATCAACAGCACGAAAACAAAACCGTTTGCAACCATGTTGTCAATGTAGCAGCAAAAAGAGCCAATGTGATGTACTGCCCACTTGTTTGTTTGAGAGCTTGAACAACAACTGACAAGTGAAGAAATGCATGGATGAAATGTTGATGTGTGGTTCAGTTGCCTCTACAGTATATGCATTGAATACAAACTGATGATTATTTGCGATGCATTTATGTGAAGCAGTATTTTATTGGTGTTGCTGGTTAACATTACATTACATTACATTGCATTTAGCTGACGCTTTTGTCCAAAGCGACTTACAATAAGTACATTCGACCAGGAAGACACAACCTTGAAGAAAACAGAATCATATAAGTATATCAGGTTTCATAGAGCCAAACATTTCAAGTGCTACTCAACTGGCTTTAGGTAATCCAGTCCTTTATTGGTATAAAAGTGCTTCGTTAATCGTTCTAACGCTCGAAGTGGAGTCGAAAGAGATGAGTTTTCAGTTTGCGCCGGAAGATGTGCAAGCTATCTGCCGTCCTGATGTCAATGGGGAGCTCATTCCACCATCTTGGAGCCAGGATAGCAAACCCACGTGTTTTCGCCGATGGGAACTTGGGTCCCCCTCGCAGCGAGGGCGCAACGAGTCGTTTGGCTGATGCAGAGCGTAGTGCACGCGCTGGGGTGTACGGTTTAACCATGTCCTGGATGTAGGAAGGGCCAGATCCATTCGCAGCACGGTAAGCAAGTACCAGTGTCTTGAAGTGGATTCTAGCAGTTACCGGAAGCCAGTGAAGGGAGCGGAGGAGCGGAGTGGTGTGGGAGAATTTAGGAAGGTTGAAAACCAGACGAGCCGCTGCATTCTGGATGAGCTGCAGAGGTCGGATGGCACATGCAGGTAGACCAGCCAGGAGGGAGTTGCAGTAGTCTAGGCGTGAGATGACGAGAGCCTGGACCAGAACCTGAGTCGCTTTCTGAGTCAGCTGGGGACGTATCTTCCTGATGTTGTAAAGCGTGTATCTGCAGCAGCGGGTTGTAGCAGCGATGTTTGCAGTGAAGGACAGGTTGTTATCTAGGGTCACACCCAGATTCCTTGCAGTCTGAGTCGGGGAAACAACTGAGGTGCCGATGTTGATTGTCAGGTCAAGAGTTGGACAATCTTTTCCCGGGAGGAAGAGCAGCTCAGTCTTGTCAAGGTTGAGTTTGAGGTGGTGAGCAGACATCCACTGAGAGATGTCAGCTAGACAAGCAGAGATGCGTGCGACGACCTGGGTCTCTGAGCGGGGAAAGGACAGAATTAATTGGGTGTCGTCAGCGTAGCAGTGGTAAGAAAAACCATGCGGGCTAATGACTGATCCGAGCGAGTTTGTGTACAAGGAGAAGAGGAGGGGACCAAGAACAGAGCCCTGAGGGACCCCCGTAGTTAATTGACAAGGGTCGGACTCAGACCCTCTCCAAGTCACCCTGTAGGTATGGTCTTTCAGGTATGAGGTGAGGAGGGAAAGTGCAGAGCCAGAAACTCCAAGTTTTTGGAGAGTGCGAAGAAGGATCTGATGATTCACCGTGTCGAATGCAGCAGACAGGTCCAACAGGATGATGACAGAGGAGAGGGATGCAGTTTTGGCAGTGTGCAGTTCCTCCGTGACAGCAATGAGAGCAGTTTCTGTGGAGTGACCTGCCTTGAAACCAGACTGGTGCGGATCCAGAAGGTTGTTCTGATTGAGATAACAGGAGAGTTGTTTAAAGACAGCGCGTTCAAGTGATTTAGACAGGAACGGGAGGAGAGAGACAGGCCTGTAGTTTATAACATCAGACGGGTTGAGAGTGGGTTTCTTTAGGAGAGGGTTTACTCTTGCCTCCTTGAGACTGTTTGGAAAGTGACCAGAAGTTAGAGAAGTGTTGATGAAATGGGTGAGAAACGGTAGAATATCAGGAGCGATAGTCTGAAGGAGGTTTGAAGGGATAGGGTCCAGAGGACAGGTGGTAGGGCGGGCAGAGGTAATGAGGGTAAGAACCTCACTTGGAGAGAGAGGGGAAAAGGAGGTTAGTGTGTTGGTGGAAGGAAGGTCTGGTGACCCAGCGGTGAGTAAAGGTGAGTCAGAAAAAGAAGAGCGAATATCATTAACCTTTTTTTCAAAGTGGGTAACAAAGTCGCTTGACAGAAGTGAGGAGGGGGGAGGAGCTTTTGGAGGGTCCAAGAGGGTGGAGAAGATGGAAAATAGTTTTTTAGGATTGGAATAGGAAGATTGGATCTTATCTTGAAAGAAAGTGCTTTTTGCCTGAGAGATCGAAGCAGAGAAAGAGGAGAGGAGAGCTTGATAGGTTAGGAGGTCGTCACGGTGTTTGGATTTCCACCATTTCCGCTCTGCTGCCCTAAGGACGGTTCTATTAGCACGCAGTGCATCATTTAGCCAGGGAGCCGGAGGGGACTGACGAGCCTGCCGAGATGTCAGAGGACAGAGCGAGTCCAGAGTGGATGAGAGAGTAGAGAGGAGAGTTTCTGCAGCAGAGTCTGGAGGCAGTAGTTGGAACGAATCGTAGGTTAAGATACGTATGATGCAGTGACTTGCGGTGAGGTTCATGGCTGGTGAGGCACTGACTCTTTCAGAGTCAGATTTACAAATATTATATTTTGACCTTAATCAAAATGTTCGGTTATTTTCAAAAGCTTTTTTAGTCTGATGCTTCGATTCATTTTAAACAGACTGTTCAACAAAAGGATACCCAAAATCTAAATATTGGATTGTTCTTTCTTAGTAAGATCCCATGTTCATTACAATTGTGGTCTTACCTTGACTTGAAGATGAAGTCCATGCTATCCTTCTGGACAACAATCTCCATTACATTTTTGTAAAAGTCCTCCTTATCTTCCTCTAGTTTCAAACGTCTAGCTTGTTGTTTGCCTCTGCGTAGAATAACAGTAGCAACAAGAACCTGTGGGCTCACGTGCGCCCCCTTCAGTGCGGCAGAGGTTATGGCTGCCTCTCCTGGTGCTTTTTTCATTGCCGTTGTACGATGAGACCAGCGGGCCTAAATATCATATATACGTGAAATAAGTTATTTAGATACTATGGATGGCGAGGATAAATGTAATAAAGGGATCTACAAACATTACATTGGTGACATACAGTGAGATGGTGCAGGCATGTGCTTAGGGCCCGCTTTCCAGCCAGTTTCTGTGGGGTGACGCATTCTGAGGTGAGGCAGAGCTCATCTGTGCCTCACCTCACTACACAGTAACTGGCTTGAGCGCGCTCACAAAATAAATGCCCGCGCTACATTAGTGCCTGCGCTCCAGCCAGTCACTGTGGGCTTACGTGAGGCAGAGCTCGTCCCTGCCTCACTCCTCATCGCTCCCATGTAGTTGTAGCGGAGCTCGGCCAATATGCTGATTTTGACTATAAAAAGCGATTGGAATCATACATAAATCACACTTACAACACAGATCAGTGGAGACATGTTATTATTATTATTACTATTTAGTTTTTCTTTAGTTGTTTTTCCGTTACATTGGAGTATGACAGGTGAGGCTCTGCCTCCCCTGCCTCCCCTGACTGCACGTCGCTGGTATGATGTAACTATTTTATAGACTAATATAATATGTAGCTTTATCAATAATGCCGTGCCACATTTTATAAGCTATTTGTTTTGAATGTAAAGTAGTGAAGTGGGAGTTTAAACTAACAGAGATTTCATAAGTAGAGCTACTTCCTTAGGCCTGGGCAGCCGAAAATATGTTTTGTGTGCACACTTTTGGGCCTTTGGGGACTCCGTAGAATTACCGCAGACAATTACATTTCAGGAAGTTACTTTGAAACTTGCATGTAAAGTTTCACGCTATTTTTTGCTAAATGAAAGTTAAAAAGTTTGAATATTAAACTGCATACAAAGTGGTTACATATTCTGGCAGCATTTGACAAATGTATCCACATGGGTACCACTCACATACAAAACCCACAGCACAAATACTGTAACTGCATACCAGCAAATTCAAGTAGCACAGGTTGTTTTTGGTCTAACAACACCTTGGTCAGCATTAGGCACTGAACACTGGCAGCAGGCAGGTGGGGCAGTGTCTGTGTTTGTGCACATTACCTCATCCAGCGCTGCCAGAACTAGAGGGATGTGCTCGGGATACAGCAGGCCCTGGGACATGAGAGAGAGACACGTGCGAGCATCCTGCTTCATCTCATCATAGCTCTCATCAATCTCCACCGGGGCAATCTGAAGGGAGAGAGGAACAGAGAGAGAGAGGTGGAGAGAGGCAGGAAGAACACGGAGCTAAGCACCATTTTGAGTAAATTAAGAGAGAAATTGAGTTTAATAGGAAAGTAAGATTGAGTGGGTAATAATGCATGCGCTGGGACCTGTGTGAGTGTGAGTGTTCTTACCTTGAAGAGAAGAGGCAGGAGCTTAAGTTGCTGCTGAACAGGATTGGTAAAAGTGCGCCCTGCGCTTGCCACCAACCATTTCAGCACTGCAAATGGCAAACACAGAGGAGGGGTTGGATGTGAGCCAAATATTAAAAACAACAGACTTGGCGCTGTGACCTTACTGCAGTGCTCTGGTAATAAAACACAATATGATTTAGTATCTAATGATTTGGATAATTTCACAACACGTTATTGATCTGTATAATGGAGATTAGGGAAGTGACAGAAACTGAAAGAGCAACAATGCAAGACAATATGAGATCTTAATTCAGTCTTTGATAAACAGGAGCACCTGCTCAAAAACGTTATTCATTTGAAATATTTAGCTATTTTTGGAAAAACCCTTACTGCTTGCCCTCAAGTAGTAAAACAAAAGTTTAGTTTACATAACATCTAGAAAATGTTATAGTTATGACACCATTTTCATATTTAACTTTTTCAGCGAACTTATTTTATTCGTAACACTGCCAGGAGTAAACATCAGGTGAGAAATATTTATAATTAAAATCACAAAAATTGTTCCCTTAATTGTGTCTGCAGCCTTGCTTACATTACCTCTAGTGGAATACTACTTTGCAGATAATTGAGATGTTATGTGCCTGTGTTTTAAAATATATTTAGGTTGATATCTCTTTTTGGGAAAATATGTTTTTATTGAATTATGTAAATATGATATTGCAATGCTGTAAGCCACAAAAAAAACCCCGCAATACTATTTGGGTAGATGCAGAAATCTCAGAGGCAAATAAAAACCATGTCTGCATTCCTAAATACGACTAAAACATAAACTGCAATAAAGATTGCTTTAAATAAAAGTGGACTTCATTTATCGAACTGCTATTCGAGAATGTAACTCAGAGGAAAACAAAATCCATAATAAAATCTAGTACAAATTACTGAACTATGTAGTCTCTATATTTTAGAGAAACCATCCCAAATATTGATTTGGAAACCTTTTTGAAAGGCTGGAACTGACCCTGGAAACCCTCTTGAACTACACGTCACTAGCTTTTAAAGTGGATTTAAATCCTTTAGTGGTCAAAGCTTTTTTTATCTAGCTTCGGTCTATTTCATAATGATAACAAGCTCTCCTTGTGTATATACTATATCATATATATATATATATATATATATATATATATATATATATATATATATGTATATCCCCACAGTCACTGTCCACACCATGTCCATCCACCACACAGTTTACATGCTTGCATCCACATTCTGACCCGTCTTGAGCAGTTTGACAGCTTGGGTGCGCTCGTCTGTCTCCTGGGTGTTCTCCTCGAGGACGTGGATTTCGGGCTCCGACATGAGGGGCTTGAGCCTCTCTAGGACCCGAGTGAGGAACTCTGCCACGTGGGGGGAGTAGGTGATGTGTGTGTGGGGCAGGGCCACGTCGATCATGAAGATATAGGTCAGCACACTGGAGAGAGAGGGTAAGGGATGAGAGGTTACAAAGGGAAACAGAGAGGGAGGCAAATAAAGAGGCTTAGAACTGAAGAGTCGAAACATTGCGCACAATCTAATTAGATGAACCCATTTAACCACGATTATGTAACACAGGAGAGATAACGCCATGGTGAGTTCGTACCTCCCAATGCGCTCCCTGACATTCTTATACACCTGGGTGAGTTTGGGCTCCAGGTAAGTCAACAGCCTGTGCAGCAGTTCAGAAACTCTCCACTGCTGCTGGGCCAGACCTCCCTGAAGCACATACAGCAAACTGACAGAGACAAAGATAGAGGGGGTGGAGGAGAAGGGGTTTGTTGTGTTATTGCGGCACGTTAGCTCAGCATACGTCAGCTCAGGTTACGACTGCAGCCTGAAATCAGAAACCTCAGAAATACTGTAGATGACATAAACACATACTTTGCGCGTACAGTTATTCATGCACTTGGGCACACACACACACACACACACACACACACACACACACACACACACACACACACACACACACACACACACACACACACACACACACACACACACACACACACACACACACACACACACACACACACACACACACACACACACACACACACACACACACACACCTTGCATCCCGGAATGAGCCGCCCTCTCCGCTCAGCGGGCTCTCCATCAACATCTCAAACAGCCAGTGGAGTTTCCTGGGGTCGCGGCCCTCCTGCAGCCAATACAAAATAGATTTTACTTTGGAACTATTAATTAAGCTGGAAACACATCCACTGAGGAACTGCATGCAGATATTCCCATATTAACTCAGACAGAAACAATCTATCTCTCTATCCATCAAGTTATCCCAATTTATTTTTGGTGGGAACCCAAATGTCACCCTCATAGTGACACTAGATGGAAAGTCAGGGGATTACCAAAGTCATTAGGATTCATTGTCTGGTAGAGACAGCAATTGCATTCATTCGGATACTCAGCTTTGGTAGCACAAAGAAGTCTGATTGTATAAAAGTACCAGTATATACGAAAATGACCCTACTTCATACTTGATTTATTTCATCAGTCAACAATCTAACTCTAATGAGTTTAAGGTCTTAATAGCTTGTCCAAGTCATCTTCAATACAGCATGAGGCTCATTTAGTAAAATATGGTCCAATTTAGAGGTAAATAGACAGCGCAAGTTAAGGGCAAGATCCAAAAATCTAGGGTGGCTTCAGCCAAAAACCAAGATTGCCAAGGCAAAATGCCAAACTTCAAAACTTTATTCTGCAAATTAAAGGGTGATTACGTTCAGTTCTTATTTACAGTCCAAAACCATTTATATTTCATGGCAATTGATTCAGTAGTTGTTGAAATATTTCAGCCTGGACCAAAATGACAGATACTGCCTTCCATAGAGCCATGCTAGCGACATCAAGGTAAAGCAAAGAAATGTAGTTCAATTCTAAATCCAATTTTCCCCTGATTGTTACTTTTATTGATTTAGGAAAAAAAATTGTATGGGAAAATGCTAATGATCTATTCTCAGTGGTAAGCTGTGCTGCATGTGTCCTATTTGTATGCATGTAAGCAACTCACACAGGCAGTAGCGATGCAGGTGCCCCAGTCTGTGTAGGTTTCCACAGTGATGTTGTTTAATGCTTTCCTGATCAAAGGGCACAAAAGCTGCCATAACCTGTCCACCTGAACACACACACACCACACACCACACACACACACACACACCACACACACACACACACACACACACACACACACACACACACACACACACACACACCACACACACACACACACCACACACACACACACCACACACACACAATAATGAAATATGTTATTAATATTGACTTTTCTTATCAAACTGTAGTGCAGTGTGTTTATTTGTAGCTGTGTGTGTGTGTCTCCAGTACCTTGCTGAAACTCCAGAGTTTGCTGCCTCTGATTAGTCCTGCAGTAATCTCACACACACAGCGCTGGGAGCTCTCATGGGGGTTGCTGGCAAGCTGCTCGAGGTGAGGCCATAGTAACGGCAGGAACACATCTCCGTAGTTACAAAACAGCCCCTGTCAATCAAACGTAAGCATAACAGGTTTGTTTTATGTGGAAGAACAAAGAGCAACAGTATTTTTTCGTATCAAAGAAAGACAGATTACAGTCATCCGTTTGACGCAAGTAAACTGTCGATGTGTGATGGGGAACAAAGGACGACAGCTGTTGATGACACAAATTCCTGCTCTGCTGAGTTGAAATTAGCCTTGGCTAGCGGTGGTATGCTGTGTCACTTCTTTGTAAGAGGCAGGCCAGATCGATTGAGGCTGAGAGTTTAAATGGCACCTTGAAGAGACAGAAGCGTCGGGGATTGAAGCTGTCGTTTCCTTTCCGATCCTCCAGGGAGAGAAACCCTATAAGCTGGTCAATAAACTCTGGGTCCGAGAAATATTCAAAGATGATCTTCTCACCCTGGGTGACACACAAACAAACACCAAATGTAATAATGATAGTAATACTGAGGTACAGGCAAAGGATTTTGTGTGCGGTACGTTATGAGCACCTCACTCATCTCTTCATAGGGCAGGTCGTGTTTTCGCTTTTCAGAAGCTGCATGGATCATCATTTCCCTGGAAGGAGCGGGAGATAAAGAAGAGGCTGCTGTGATTTATAGATAACAACAAACTGGCAAAAATATGGATAGACACACGGTGTCTTCAAATAAGCAGCAAGGATAAATGAATGATTACAAAGTCAGTTAGTCAGCAAGGCAGCATGCCCTCTATCTAAACATCAATTATTCTATCTAGGCCAGGCAGTAAGTCGTTCAGTGAGCTTTATCTAGGCCAGGCTGTGACAGGAAGTCAGTTCAACACCCTGCTAGTTATCCATTCACCCAGATCAGTCATCCAGCAGTTAGGCCGACATAAAGTTAGACACAAAGACAAGCATCAAATCAACCAGGCAGTTAGTCAATCAGCAACTTAGCTCCATCCAACCAAGCACTTAATCAGCCCTCTAGTTTCTAAATCCACCTCCGTCACACAATCATTCTCATTACCTCGGCCACGAGTAGTAGCCCCAGTGTGTTTTCTCCACATACTGCTGAGAATCCCACTGTTCCTCACTCAAAGGCAGGTTTTTGCTGTCGTATTGCAGCCAGCGATTTGCCTCCCGATCTCCCGCACACACACCCTCTGGATCCTCATTACCACCTAAATATACATACAAGAAAAGTCATAAACACATTTACAAGCATGTTTTGTGTGTGTGTGTGTGTGTGTGTGTGTGTGTGTGTGTGTGTGTGTGTGTGTGTGTGTGTGTGTGTGTGTGTGTGTGTGGTGTGTGTGTGTGTGTGTGGTGTGTGTGTGTGTGTGTGTGTGTGTGTGTGTGTGTGTGTGTGTGTGTGTGTGTGTGTGTGTGTGTGTGTGGGGGAGTGAGTGTTTTTAACTGCCCACTGTTGGAAAGTCTTGTCAAACCATTTATGTTTTAATAAAGAGCAAATGGAGATGTGTCTTCAGGTATTATTGCTTACTCAATGGGAAATGACTTAGAATGCTAATGCTGACATTGTTGGATTGAGAGAAGGTGTGTAATTGTAGAATGTGTGTGATATTTGTGTGCTTCTACTCACTGATATCTGATGGCTTTAAAGCCACTTTTATTCTTGGTCGTTTTAGCTGTTTCAGGATGCCGGCCATTGCTGCGACTGCCATCTGAGAGAGAGAAATATTGGAGTTGTTAAGTTGAGCTACGCGCCAGCAGAGCAGGTCCTGGTACTAAAAGTGTTGTCTGTACGGATATTTGTCCCAGTAGTAAAAGTGATCTGGGATCTGCTCTGGTCTGTCTCAGTTTTACAATATTCTATCACACTGATGCTTATTTTTTATATATTGCTGCTACTTTTAATTCTACTCGTTGGGTTTTCAGCTATTCACATTTTTCTACACAGGCCTCTTTGAGACTTGCTTATTTGTAAGTGTATACTAAACAAATAAAACTCCAGCTGTGTCCCAAATCAATACAACACGGAAGTCCTAAGCGTGTTTTCAGAACGTAGATACCCAATAGCCAGTGTGCAAAATAAAAAAAAGCATCCTGCTGATGGACACTTTTGTCCCAGCAAATAGAGGCTCTACTCACAGCTGGAGAGAAATTAAAATAAAATGCACACAGACAATGACAGCTCAAGAAAGATTATTGAAAATATAATTTTAGAAAGACACTTTTTTTGTTCCCTCTTTGTGAAGTTAAATTGGAAGTGACAATGTAAAGTTTTCCAACATCAAAGTGTGCAACTATGATTTTCCGTTAGTTTTAAACATTAGAGTATCTTTTTTAGTCAGAAAAACCCACGCTATACACACCTTGCGTATGCTGATGGAGTCATGTGTGAGGCCCTGTGTGAAGTAGTGGACAGCGTCGGGGGGGAGTGGGTGATCTTCTCTCAGCTGGAGGGATAACAAGTCTGTGGCCATGTGCTCAAACTTCCAGGGCCTGAAACAAGCAAACGTACAAGTCTCATTCATAATAATAATAATAATAAAGAAAAAGCCATTCTGAAATGTACAAGACTTCTGGGGTTGATTTCTTTACAAATACTTTATATGATAAGTACACATTCTGCCTCTGATTGTGGGTACTCAGAGTTCATTTAAATACAGAACATAGTGTATTCTGACCTTTTTATAAAACATGCGGACAAATTAGATAGCACATACTGTAGGTTGAGAGAAAGCTTACAGGTTGCTGTCTTCAAGGCAGTCCAAAAGATCGTTGACCAGTTTCTCATATTTCCTGTATGTAAGAAAAATAAGTGTATATCAGTCAAGCTTCTCCTGCCCCTACTAATGATAAAGGAAATTAATGGATGTCCTGTATAATACAAGTTTCCTACCTTGCACCAACCACATTTTTGATCAGCTGACGTTGAAGCCCCTCATTCAGCTCCTCTAGAGACGGAGCCTCTAAACAAGACGTGGGATTTGCAGACTGTGCGATATGATTGGCTATCTCGACACATGCTTCAGACACCTAGAGGTGAAAGGGAAAGAAGGGCAAATAGATGAGGAGATCAGATGAGGGGAGTGTATTGACAATTAAAGGGTAACTTCTGTATTTTTCAACCTTTTGTGTCTATCTGACAACACATTTAAATATTGACCCTATACTGTACAGTTTTTTCTTTACCTTTCCCCTCATCAGGTTTGTTTATCATGGTGTCACAGTACTTGTTGCCAGAAGACAGAAATGTTAACGTGACTGAGAGTTAAAGAGAGGATTGCCTGTGATTCTTATCGTTATGGCCGAATATTTAGCTGATTTCAACAATGTGAATGTAAAGCAGGATTTCCCAATGAAACCAGACCAGATCAATTAAAATGTAAAGACATTTTTTTTTTTTTCATTGTAGGGTCTTATCAATAATTTTGTAAAAACATATAATAATAATCTGAGCCTGTCAGTGCCAAAAACAATCACTTTTAGAGGACATACATTGACGGGGCGCTATTGCTTTGAGTGAAAATTACTTATTGCGACCGCCATCTGCACACTGTCCTCGCTCAATACTAGAACCATTCTAAAAAATGTTGTCACTATTGGTCAGTTAGACACAAAATATGAGATAATATGTGCCCATCTAAAATAAAATTAGACTCTGTTGCTCCTTTGAAAAAGAAGAAAATAAAACAACATAGATTAGCTCCATGGCATAATGCCGAAACCCGCAAAATAAAGCAAAAGTCGAGACAACTTGAAAGGATATGGCGTTCCACTAAACTTGAAGAATCTCGTTTAATTTGGCATAGTACTCTCAATGAATATAAGAAAGCACTGCGTAAAGCGAGAGCAGCTTACTACTCTTCATTAATAAATGAGAATAAGAATAATGCAATATTTATTTTCAGCACTGTAGCCAGGCTGACAGAGAGCCACAGCTCTAATGAGCCTTCTATTCCCATAGCACTCAGTAGTAATGATTTGATGTGCTTTTTTAACGATAACATTGTTACTCGTAGAAACAAAATTAATGACATCTTGCCTTTGACCAGTATAGTGTTATCAATAGCTCCCGGAAGAACCAGCACCTTACCGTGGTAGAGAGGTTTGTGTGCCCTGATGAACCTGGGGGCTGTGTTGTCTGGAACCTTGTGTTCCTGGTAGGGTTTCCCATGGCAAATTGGTCTCAGGCAAGGGGCCAGACTAAGATTGGTTCAAAAGACCTCATGAAAGACGATACAAGAAGTGAGGATACCCGGCCCGGAGGAAGCCCGGGGTCCCCTTCTGGAGCCAGGCCCAGAAGGAGGACTCGTCGGCGAGCGTCTGGTGGCCGGGCTTGCCACGGAGCCCGGCCGGGCCCAGCCCGAAAAGGCAACGTGGGCAACGCCTCCGCTTCTCCGTCCCGCGGGCCCACCACCTACGGGAAACATCAATGGGGTCGGGTGCGCTGCCAGAAGGGTGGCAGTGAAAGCAGAGGGTCTCGACGGACCAGACCCGGGCGACAGAAGCTGGCTTTGGGGACGTGGAACGTCACCTCTCTGGGGGGGAAGGAGCCGGAGCTTGTGCGGGAGGTGGAGCGTTACCAGTTGGATCTGGTTGGGCTCACCTCTACGCACAGCGTCGGCTCTGGAACCTTACTTCTGGATAGGGGTTGGACTCTATTCTTCTCCGGAGTTGCTCAAGGTGTGAGGCGCCGGGCGGGTGTGGGGATACTCACAAGTCCCCGGTTAGGTGCTTCGTTGTTGGAGTTTACCCCAGTGGACGAGAGGGTCGCCTCCCTACGCCTGCGGGTTATGGGGGGGAAAACTCTGACTGTTGTGTGTGCTTATGCACCCAACAGCAGTTCAGAGTATACGGCCTTCTTGGAGACCCTGGAAAGAGTCCTGTATGGGGCTCCTGAAGGGGACTCTTTAATCTTGCTGGGAGACTTCAACGCACATGTGGGCAATGATGGAGACACTTGGAGGGGCGTGATTGGGAGGAACGGCCCCCCCTGATCTGAACCGGAGTGGTGGTTTGTTACTGGACTTCTGTGCTAGTCATGGATTGGCCATAACAAACACCATGTTCGAACATAAGGATGCTCATAAGTGTACGTGGTACCAGAGCACCCTAGGCAGAAGGTCCATGATCGATTTCGTTATCGTATCATCGGACCTGAGGCCGTATGTTTTGGACACTCGGGTAAAGAGAGGGGCGGAGTTGTCAACTGATCACCATCTGGTGGTGAGTTGGGTCGAGTGGCGGGGGAAGCCTCTGGATAGACCTGGTAAGCCCAAACGTGTAGTTCGGGGTGAACTGGGAACGTCTGGAGGAGGCCCAAGTTCAGGAGGCCTTCAACTCACACCTCCGGCGGAGCTTTTCGGGCATTCCTGTGGAGGTTGGGGACATTGAACCAGAGTGGTCGGTGTTCAAAGCCTCTATTGCCGAAGCCGCGGCGGGGAGCTGTGGTCTCAAGGTCCTAGGTGCCTCAAGGGGCGGTAACCCTCGAACCTCCTGGTGGACACCGGTGGTCAGGGAAGCCGTCCGACTGAAGAAGGAGGCCTTCAGGGATTTGTTATCCCGGGGGACTCCCGAGGCAGTTGCAAGGTACCGACAGGCCCGAAGGGCAGCAGCCTCATCCGTGGCCGAGGCAAAGCAGCGGGTGTGGGAGAAGTTCGGAGAAGACATGGAGAAGGACTTTCGGGCGGGCACCAAAGTTGTTCTGGAAAACTGTCCGACACCTCAGGAGGGGGAAGCAGGGAACCATCCAAGCTGTGTACAGTAAGGATGGGGACGTTGTTGACCTCAACTGATGGAGTGTTAGGGCGTTGGAAGGAACACTTTGAGGAACTCCTGAACCCGACAACTCCGCCCTCTATGTTAGAGGCAGAGCTGGAGTATGACGGGGGATCAACACCAATCTCCCGGGGGGAGGTCACTGAGGTCGTCAAACAACTCCACAGTGGCAAAGCCCCGGGGGTGGATGAGATCCGCCCGGAAATGCTGAAGGCTCTGGGTGTTGAGGGACTGTCATGGTTGACACGTCTCATCAACGTTGCGTGGAAGTCGGAAACAGTACCGAAGGAGTGGCAGACCGGGGTGGTGGTTCCCCTATTTAAAAAGGGGGATCAGAGGGTGTGTGCCAATTACAGAGGCATCACACTACTCAGCCTCCCCGGGAAAGTTTACTCTAAGGTACTCGAAAGGAGGGTCAGGGCCGATTGTCGAACCTCAGATTGAGGAGGAACAATGCGGATTCCGTCCTGGTCGTGGAACGACGGATCAGCTTTTTACTCTTGCAAGGATCCTGGAGGGGGCCTGGGAGTACGCTTATCCGGTCTACATGTGTTTTGTAGACTTGGAGAAGGCGTATGACCGAGTTCCCAGGGAGTTACTGTGGGAGGTGCTGCGGGAGTATGGGGTGAGGGGGTCTCTACTCAGGGCCATCCAATCTCTGTACTCCCAAAGCGAGAGCTGTGTCCGGGTCCTCGGCAGTAAGTCGGACCCATTTCCGGTGAGGGTTGGCCTCCGCCAGGGCTGCGCTTTGTCACCAATCCTGTTTGTAATATACATGGATCGGATTTCGAGGCGTAGTCATGGGGGAGGGGGTCTGCAGTTCGGTGGACTAAGGATTGCACCACTGCTTTTTGCAGATGATGTGGTTCTGATGGCTTCATCGGTCTGCGACCTTCAGCACTCACTGGATCGGTTCGCAACCGAGTGTGAAGCGGCTGGGATGAGGATCAGCACCTCCAAATCTGAGGCCATGGTTCTCAGCAGGAAACCGATGGACTGTCCACTCCAGGTAGGGAATGAGTCCTTACCCCAAGTGAAGGAGTTCAAGTATCTCGGGGTCTTGTTCTCGAGTGAGGGAACAATGGAGCGTGAGATGGGCCGGAGAATCGGAAGCAGCGGGAGCGGTACTGCAGTCGCTTTACCGCACCGTTGTGACGAAAAGGGAGCTGAGCCAGAAGGCAAAGCTCTCGGTCTTCCGGGCCATTTTCGTTCCTACCCTCACCTATGGTCATGAAGGATGGGTCATGACCGAAAGAACGAGATCGCGGATACAAGCGGCCGAGATGGGTTTTCTCCGCAGGGTGGCTGGTGTCTCCCTTAGGGATAAGGTGAGAAGTTCGGTCATCAGGGAGGGACTCGGAGTTGAGCCGCTCCTCCTTCGCGTCGAAAGGAGCCAGTTGAGGTGGTTCGGGCACCTAGTTAGGATGCCACCTGGGCGCCTCCCTAGGGAGGTGTTCCAGGCACGTCCAGCTGGGAAGAGACCAAGGGGTAGACCTAGGACCAGGTGGAGGGATTATATCTCTTCGCTGGCCTGGGAGCGCCTTGGGATCCCCCAGTCAGAGCTGGTTGATGTCGCCAGGGAAAAGAAAGTTTGGGGCTCTCTGCTGGAACTGCTACCCCCGCGACCCGACCACGGATAAGCGGGAGAAGATGGATGGATGGATGGAATAGCTCCCGGAAACGTAAGTTCTAATATTACACTAGATAGTAAACTAGAATGCTTTTCAGCCATAAACCTTGAACAATTCAATTAAATGATTCTCTCTTCTAAACCATCAACATGTATCTTAGACCCAATTCCAACTAAGCTGTTAAAGGAAGTTTTTCCATTAATTAGCACTTCTTTATTAAATATTATGAATATGTCTTTATTATCATGTTCCAAATCATTCAAAGTAGCAGTGATAAAACCGCTTCTTAAAAAGCACAACCTCGATCCAGAGGTTTTAGCCAATATAGACCTATTTCTAATCTTCCGTTCCTCTCAAAAATTCTTGAGAAAGCAGTCGCAAAACAGCTGTGTGATTACTTAAAAAACAATGGTTTATTTGGAGATTTTCAGTCTGGCTTTAGAACACATCATAGTACAGAGACAGCTCTGGTTAAAGTCACAAATGACATTCTAATAGCCTCAGACAAGGGACTTGTCTCTATTCTTGTTTTGCTCGATCTCAGTGCTGCATTTGATACTATCGACCATGATATCCTATTGCAAAGACTAGAGCACTTAGTTGGCATACAGGGAACTGCTTTAGGCTGGTTTAGGTCCTATCTATCTGAACGCTCTCAGTTTGTACGTGTCAATGATGAATCTTCCACACAAACCAAAGTTAGCCACGGAGTGCCACAGGGCTCAGTGCTCGGACCTATTTTGTTCACATTATATAGGCTTCCGTTAGGCAATATTATAAGGAATCATTCTGTAAATTTTCATTGCTATGCGGATGATACTCATCTATATTTATCAATCAAGCCTGATGAAATTAATCATCTAAATAAAATTCTGCCTCAAGGACTTAAAAACGTGGATGACCTTAAACCTTTTGATGTTAAACACGTTATTGTACTTGGCCCGAAGAATCTACGAAACAAATTATCTAAAGATATACTAACTATGGATGGCATTAATTTGGCCTCCAGTGAGACTGTAAGGAATCTTGGTGTTATATTTGATCAGGATTTATCCTTTAACGCCCACATAAAATCAATTTCAAGGACCGGCTACTTCCATCTACGTAACATTGCAAAAATCAGGCATATCTTGCCTCAAAACGATGCAGAGAAACTAGTCCATGCATTTGTTACTTCAAGGCTGGATTATTGTAACTCCTTATTATCAGGGTATAACAAGAAGTTAGTCAAGTCGCTTCAGCTGATTCAAAATGCTGCAGCTCGTGTACTAACCAGAGTTAGGAAAAGGGAGCACATTACTCCTGTTCTGGCTGCCTTACACTGGCTCACTATAGAACACAGGATATAATTTTAAATTCTTCTTCTCGCCTACAAAGCCCTTAATGGGCAGGCGCCATCTTACCTTAAAGAACTCATTATACCCTACTGTCCTACTAGGACATTGCGTTCCAAGAATGCAGGGTTGCTGGTTGTTCCTAGAGTCTCTAAAAGTACAATGGGAGCCAGAGCCTTTTCTTATCAAGCTCTACATTTGTAGAATCAGCCTCCAGTTTGTGTTCGGGCGGCAGACACCCTATCTGTTTTTAAGAGTGTGTTTAAGACCTTCCTTTTTGATAAAGCTTATAGTTAGGGCTGATTAGATTCAGCCCCTAGTTTTGCTGATATAGGCTTAGTTTGTCGGGGGACATCTTACTTCTTCCTTCTCTCTGTCTGTACCTGTGTACTCTCATGTTCCGATTAACCCAGCTTCCCCAAATTTCTTTCTTTTTGGTGTCTATATACGCCGGGATCCGGAGTCATGGATGATCCTGCGGTCCTGTGTCCTGCATCGCGAGCCCTGGATCTTGAGTCGTGGCTGTGGTCCTGGATCATAAGTCCTGGATGGATATCCTCGTGGATTCATCTTCTTATTATACACACATGCATTTCCAAACATTTGGACTACCTATGTTGCAAATGTATTATCTTTTCAATTTACACACGGCATCTATTGCACTCTGTTGCTCTCCCTGAGGTTTCTCCCATTTTTCCCTTTAAACTGTGGGTTTTCTCCGGAAGTTTTTCCTTGTACGATGTGAGGGTCTAAGGACAGAGGGTGTCGTATTGTCATACTGATATTCTGTACAAACTGTGAAGTCCACTGAGACAAATGTAACATTTGTGATATTGGACTATATAAATAAACATTGATTGATTGATTGATTGATTGATTGATTTGAAAGATACAATTTAATACACATGTTGCTCACAGTATAATAGATCCCTATGGTGTCGTGCTGGCGATGGATGCGGTCAATAATCTCGTTGAGCAGTCCACCGATGGAGGACTTCCCCAGGGTCATAGAGGGCGAGAGGCCACAGCGGACGAGGGCGGGCCACACCTCCCCGACACAGTTCCAGTCCCTCGCACTGGCCAGACAATTACCACTCTGCATACCCAGCATACAGTACAGAGCCCCCTGAAACACACACAGGGTTAGGGTAAGGTTTAGACACAGACCAGACACTAGTTTGTATGTGTTGTGTGTGTGTGTTTGTTGTACCTTGAACTGCTGTTGTGTGCCAGTGGTGTGTTGTGGTGAGAGCAGTTGTAGTATTCGGGGAATCAGGTCCCTGTATGCGAAGCTAAATGTTCCCACAGCGGAAATCAGCACATGTTGGGCCCTGCTACGTACCTGTAAGGACACACACACACACACACACACACACACACACACACACACACACACACACACACACACACACACACACACACACACACACACACACACACACACACACACACACACACACACACACACACACACACACACACACACACACACACACACACACACACACACACACACACACACACACACACACACACACACACACACACACACACACACACACACACACACACACACACACACACACACACAATTTACTACTTTCTCCAAGATATTTATGTTCATACCATCAGGAAATGGGAACCAGTGGATGTTGTGGTTTCATTTTTCTCTTAAATTCTTTGTGTCAGTTTACCTGGCTGTAGGTGCTGGTAGAAAGCAGCAGCAGGTCACATAGTAGCTCCTGATGAACCACTTTATATACAGTGCCCTCAACCACCAGCTTCCTCATCTATTGGCACAGAAATACAGTGTTCCAATATAATTATATTTCAACACCAACTTCTGACTGAGAAAAGCATTTGAATTGATATGCACATGGTATACTAGTAACCCTGCACAAAGTGTGTGCGTGTTGTTAAAATCACCTCATGCTGGAGTAGCACCCGGTCAATGAGCAGAGCTCTAATGTTCTGCTTTTTCCCATGAAGCTGCAGAAGGAAAGGCGACATACTTAAAACCCTGTGCAAGAAACTCAGTAAAAGGAACAATCAGCAGCCTTGTTACAGACTCACCCTGTTTTCCATGGACTTCTTCACAAGAGTGAAGCTTTTCCAACGTGAGTCAAACTCCTTCTTGTGAATGCCTTGGAAAAACATGAGGTCACTGATGATCTGAAGTCAGACAAAAAAGGCGGCTTTGAGATGTTTGTGGGCTAACGGCATGTCAAATAATAACATTTCTTACATGAATAATAGAAAAAGTCACCTTAATGATGACAAACAGTGACTTTGTGTCATCCTCAGTGTGCTCCAAGATGTGATCTAGATTAAAATGGATATTGATTAATTGTGCATCCCAATCACACTGCAAACAAGGTGAGCAGTTTAGAGCTGGAGTGTGGTTGTGTTAAAGCCCTCACTCACGTAGCAGCAGTCTCATGGTTTGGCAGATGGACTTTCTGTAGTTCTCCCGTGAATCATCTGGAGGGGAGGAGACACACAGGCGTCACGTACGGACACAGAATGCAGGATGAGCTGCCTTATCACCCACTGAAACAGCTCACTGAGCCATGTGTGTTGTATGCTGCTTGCTTGTGTATATCTTACCGTAGTTGATGCCTATGTGCAGCTTTATCTCCCCCAGATTGACCATGGAGGGCACGCTGAGGAGAAACAAAGTGTAAGGAGCCAATCTTGACAAGCCTGCAGGAAAATTCTTTTTTTTGTATCTGTATGTAGCTGCAGAACTCACAGGTCAGATACGTGTTGTCCATCCAGAAGGGGCAGCATGCTTCCAGCTCCAAGAAGGCAGTGCTGCACGATAGCAAGACTCAGCAACAGCTCCTCCCTGCCAACCACAACACACTTTACAGACCCTCATAGTGTGTTTGTTGTGAATTCACTATATTGGTGCCTTTTTTTGATTTTTTCAATCAGATTTTTTATTAATGATGGGATACAGGTTTCTTTGGTTTGTGTGTGCGTGTACCTGATTACCTCGAAAAACAAGATAAGTGACAACGCACCTGCTCATTGGCTGCTCTCCAGACACGTGGGCCTCGATTCGCTGCAGCTCAGGGCGCAGGAGGCGGGACAGCAGCTGGAAAACAAAGTTCTCCTCCTCCTGATTGGGCACGTGCCAACACACACCCAAGTCTGCCACATCTCCAGCTTTGCCCCAGTCCTGGAGACAGAGAGAGAGAGGGAGAGTTTCCATTGGAACAACTGGCAAGCAAACCACCATAACCAGCCTGCCTCAAAACCACCAATCCGTCCTTAGCGGGGATTTTGAAACACATGTTAAGGGTTAGGACATTCAAAAAAACGATCTACCTTCAGATGACAGGGTCATTACTGTTATACAGCAGCATTATGGTCAGCATACATTTCTTTTTTATACTTTCATCAAAAATATGTCAAAGCTCTGTTCATGTGTAGAAAATGAACAAGCTAAATCTGAATCACTCACGAAGCTATGGTAACCTTTAGAATATGTAACAGTTCTGACCCTTGACCCCGTTGAGCATGACATCCTCTCTTTCTCCCCCTTTCTGTCTATATCAAGCTGTACTGACGTATGAAAGGTGAAAAGCCCCCCCCCCCATAACAAATTCTCTATCTTTACGCACTGCAAAAACTAGAAAAATGTAATTATGTTCCAAAAGTCATGAGGCTGAAATGTTGCTGCATAACAGGTGTGACCCCGCAGACAAATCCAACTAGCAAAATACAAATGAAAATCAACGACCAAACAAAATACTGAATCAGTGACCGTGAACTGCAGATGAAAAGAGCTCAGTGTTTGAAAGCAGCAGAGGAGTGTAGCTGTAATTTCCACAACCTTGACATCCAAACAGGAACACATTTCCCTGCATTCATGTACAACAGCACCATTTGATAGAAAAGCTTTTCTCAGAAACACTGCAGGGCTAGCAGAGAAATTCTCTTTGAACTAGCATTTAGCTGCCTTAAAGCGAGACTATATAACTTTCACAAAACAGAATTTAGCTCATTGGTTATTAAAATAATCGTCAACTAATATGCAAGAAATCACACCTTTTTCTGTCTCTTTTGCTTTTCTTAAATGTCTTCTCTATTCAGCAACATAAATGTTCTAACATATGTGTTTATTTATTAAGAAAGAAAGAGATGGCAGTTTAAACATTAGTGTATGGTCCAGCAGTGAAGCCGATTCATTTCAATTTGATAAAGCTTTCTAAATCTCTTCCTATAACTGGGAATTGCAATGCAATTACTGAACCTGAAACATCCCATTTATTTAAACTGCGAGAAAGGCTGTGTCTTAAGGTTATTTTGTTGCATTTAGTTTCCAAGTAAACCTCATTGTTTCCTGTCCCAGAATATATACTGTAATAGCTGTGAAAAGAGCCAATTTGCACTTGAGCAGGTTAGCAAATAAGCTTGAAACTATGCAGTTAGGAGTCGAGGGACTGGATTTACTGGACGTGTGTGTTTACCCGTATAGGGAGGTCAGAATCAAAGCCTCCAGAGGTGCTGCGGTACTCGGTGGGATAGATGAGGGACAGCGACCTGAGTGTGTGCTCCAGCAGACTGCAGGCAAGTGTGTACGCCTGTTTGCAGCGCAGACGCACACACACACACAAGATCCGCTCCAGGTCCCCCTGGAATTTTAACAGCTGTTCACCATCCACACGGGTTACCTAAAAACAACACATACACATGAGTACATGCACACAGACACACAAACACAGGCAATTCAGTCGAGGGTTGTGTCTTAAATATTGCGGTTCTACAGTAAATCACAGCATCTGGCTCACCCCCACTCGGATTAAGCTCCCAGGAGTAATAAAACAAAACAGAAAGGGTATCAATATGTTCTGTTTAACGACAAAGCCCCTCGATATTTATGACCGTGCAGGGTGCACACTGCAAAAAAACTCATTGTTCATCATTTTTTTTCTCATAGTGTCACATAATTTTCCTATTTAAAAAAAAAGTTTAAAAGTTTCTTTGTTCCACTCATTTTGGGTGTTTAGTTTCTGAAGTTCTGTTAAAACACTTGATGAAACCTTGAATCAAGTTAAATAGACCGACTACTTCAGCAGTAATGAGTTAACGACTCACACATATTTCCAAAACTGGAATAAAGTAGATATGCCAACCCCTCTGGCAGTCATTTCAATCATTTTGAGATTTAACAACATTTAAGGACCCTAGATAAAAAGAAATTAGCAGGATTCATATTTTTTGGAGTGGTGGAGCCCTTTGGAAGTGATGGATCCCGGTCTCACCTCGGAGAGCAGCTGGAGATTCCACAGCAGCTCCTTATCCAGCTCGTCTTCACTCTGCAGCTCCTCGTCTACACACACACACACACACACACACACACACACACACACACACACACACACACACACACACACACACACACACACACACACACACACACACACACACACACACACACACACACACACACACACACACACACACACACACACACACACACACACACACACACACACACACACACACACACACACACACACACACACACACACACACACACACACACACACACACACACACACACACACACACACACACACACACGAATAATGCATTCTGTATTGCTCCCCTGGCAGACTGAACTCGTTTTGCTGAATTGTGGGGTCATTTCAGGTTTTATTCAGGCTAGAAGCATGGCTCTGTGGTCTGTATCCACTTTAGTCAAAACTGAAATACTGAAATATGGGATGGCATCAACAAATAACACATAATTAGGCCAATTCAACACTTTTTGTTGTATACAGTTATTGCTTTATTACCTATTTGCTAAAAGGCACAATTTTCTAGGCACAACATTGATTAATTTACGAACAGTTATCACAGACCAATAAACAAACTTGCTTTTTAATTTGAATACTGTAATGGCTTTGCTTTACACTGTGTCTATTAAGATCTCCTAATTTATATATGATAATGTACTAAATAGATCAAACAGATGGTGTGAATCAAAGGTGTGAATGCACTCATTAGATTCAAGAGACCTTGTACTCTCTTCATGTAAACACATAACAATTGTATCCACACTACACTACACAACACAACACATGACACAGTGTGGTACTGACTGTCAGTATAGTGGAAAATGACACTGCAGCAGTGAGGGACGAACAGGCGGAGAGACTCAGCGGGATGACACTGCACGCACACACACACACACACACACACACACACACACACACACACACACACACACACACACACACACACACACACACACACACACACACACACACACACACACACACACACACACACACACACACACACACACACACACACACACACACACACACACACACACACACACACACAGACACACACACACACACACACACACACACACACACACACACACACACACACACACACACACACACACACACACACACACATTATTTAGATGCAGAAACACATGCATGGAAAAATAACACTGGTAAGAACTGATTTCGCCTAAAATGTATCAAAGTAAATAATAATAAAGAGTGAAAATGTAAGAAATAAAACATAGTATATAAGAATGTAACTACAGTGTGACATGAAAGTGAAGGTGTAGAATGAAAATGTGTTTTTTTATAATGATAATAATTGTTCTTTCCTTCAACTATATCAACATCTTCAACATATGTACAAAGGTAGACCACATGTCTCTGTTCTGTGTTCTGCTTAAATTCCAACACATACTGTACAGTACATTAAATAAGTGAAGCAAGGAGTCAGAGATAAAGGTTGATGAACACATACCTTTGCTGCAGCTCTGCACATGTCAGCCACCATCCTGCCTGACACACACGTCTCAAAGACGTTGGAGGTGGCAAAGTTAAACACCTTCTGTAGCGCCATCTAACACAAAGGTAAGGTTTTTCAAATGTACTAATTAATTACTTCAAATAAAAATACAGTGCATAACACACATTGACTTCAAAATATAAATAAATCCGCCAAATGAATGTGTAATGTAATTATTATCAAACATATTCAGACATTTAAATCACTTTAAAGGTCAGCTACAATATTTCATCAGGACTGTGTTTGGTGAGATTCATCAGCAAATGACTGTCATCACATTTTAGCCAAATACTGATTTGTGCAAGTGACACAGATAATTTTCTTCCAAAAAAAACACAAATATAAATATATTAATGAGTAAAATAACCAAAAATGTTGCAACTTTGGCATGATCGTAGTGATAATGAATACGTTTCAGGGCTTTGAGGATAGTTTTCTGGATCAGAAGTGTCTGATTAGGGTCAGAGAATGAGTACAATATATAAATGAATGCATTTCAAAGAGTGTGTGTGCTACCTTGTATAGTTCTAGAGAGCATTGTGTTAGGATGGTGTTAACAGTGGAGGACAGGCCCAGCTCCACCAGGCTCTCCAGCTGGTTCTGGGTATCTGTCTCCATCTCATCTCTTGTCTGTTCCAGGGTGCTGCTGTCTATCAGACCAAAACACCTGCACATACACACATACACAAGCACACACTTATACACTTGTCAGCGATGAAAATGTCAACAGTGTTGGAAAAAAAAAGAAGGATGTTATGCGGCCGGCAGAGACAGCGATGCAGACAGGTGCATTTCAAGCAGAAAGAAATACATTCACACTAAGACGTTGACAACAAGGATTTACTAAGTGACAGTTTAAATTATCTTTACCTGTCCAGAAACTGGAGAATGAAGTCTTCGAATGCAGCTGAGGCAAAACACAGATTCTTCTCAATCTAAGAGGGAGAAAGAGAAATTGTTTTTTTAAAGGATGAAACAGCTAGCCTCGCACTGGCAACCTCGCGTCGGTTTTTGACCGTAGGGAGTGATACTTTGTTGCGCATTGACGAAAAGAATCCAGGAAGTGACTATTCACCCTGTAAAAATACAACCTGTCAAATTCCGACTTTTTCAATTAGCTATAACATGTTTAAAAGTGAGTTAAAGAGCCATGCTAGCTGGCTAGCTAGCTTCTGTATTCTAGTCTTTGTGCTAAGCTATGCTAACCAACTGCATATTCAAGAGATGGTTTCAATCCTTTGAGCTCACTTTCCAAAAATCTCAAAGAAAAAAGCTTTTAAATGATGAATGCTGAGATTTTTGCTCAACATGTAGATATTATGTTTATTTAATCTCTTTCCTGTCTAAATTGTTTATGTGTGCTGTGTGTGTGTGTGTGTGTGTGTGTGTGTGTGTGTGTGTGTATGTGTGTGTGTGTGTGTGTGTGTGTGTGTGTGTGTGTGTGTGTGTGTGTGTGTGTGTGTATGTGTGTGTTGTGTGTGTGTGT